TCGGGTTTTTATGAATTACAGGGGAAACTCATTTTCATAGCCCATTTGTAAGTAAAACTATAGTTATTCTTTAAAAAATTGTTTTTTTGAAATTTTTGGGTGTCGGGAATGGATTAATTGGATTTACATTATTTCTTATGGGAAATTTTAAACAAAAAATACATTTTATAGAGAATAACTATAGTTTTACATACAAACTAGGGCATACGAAAACCGAGGTTCCATTGTAATTACAGTGGTCCCTCGTTGTTCGAAATTTAAATTTCCGTTCCGGGAGCCGTTACTTTAAACGAAATTTACGATTTACGAATCAATTTTCCCCATAAGAAATAATGTAAATACAATTAATCCGTTCCTGACACCCCAGAATATTAAAACAAAAAAAATTTTAAATGAAATATACATGTAGTACATAAACAATACAATGGGAAATGTGAATGAAAAAATTAACAGCATAACACTTCCCTTTTTATTGGAGATTCTTCTTAGTGTATGGAAGATGGAGGAGGAGAGAGAGTGGATTATTTATATTTTGGGAAGGGGAATCCCCTTCCATCAACACCTCAGGTACCATTTTGCTTTTCTGAGGTTGCTTCTCTTCTCTGTTTCTTAATTTGCCACTAGGACCACCTTGAGTCACGGGGTTTCCTGTCTCACAAAATAACTGTGGAGAGAGCTCTGTTTCTGGCATCTTTTTTAACACTTCCCAAAAAGGGCCCAAGACTTTGTCACTGTACATGTTGCCAACCTGGCTTGCAACAACCTTGTTAGGTGATGTTTCTCCATAAAGCTTTCCATCTTACCCCATAGTAAAAATCTCTTTAATTTCTGAAGAAGGCACCTTCTTCCATCTCCTTCCTCCTCCTCTGCAGCAAGATTCTGAGCTGTGATGTGTTGCTCTTCCACTGAAGCTCTTGCAGCTCCTCAGTGGTGAGCTCTTCATTGTGGTCTTCCACATCCTCCAACTCACATCCAACCCCATGGAACTCCCCAGTGCCACAATTGTTTTTACAACAGACATAGGCTCATTAGGGTCATCCCAAATCCTTCAAAATCCCTTTTGTCGACAACAATCTGGCCACAATTTTCTCCAGGCAGAGTTCAAAGTCCTGGTAGTCACTCCCTCCCAAGCCATACCTATAAGGGTTATGCAGTGGAGGATGCTAAAGTGTTTCTCCCAAAATTCCCTTAGGGTCAAGTGAGTATCTGTGGTCACAGTCAAGCACCTGTAAAAACTTGCTTTTGTGTAGATTTTTTAAAGTTTGCAAATAACTGCTGGTCCATGGGTTTTGGAGGAGGGGAGTGGTATTCGGGGGCAAGAACTTTACTGTGATAAAACCCAAACTCCTCGAAAATTAGGTCATCCAAGTTTGGAGGATGAGCAGGTGCATTGTCCATTACTAGCACGCACATGAGATCCAATTTCTTTTCCAGGAGATACTCCTTCACATTTGGGGCCAAACACTTCATTGAACCACTCGACAAAAATTTCCCTCATGACCCATGCCTTACTATTAGATTTCCAAAACACACACAATTTACTCTTCATAACATTGTTTTTCCTGAACACTGGGGTTTTCAGAATGGTGCACTAAATAATGGCTTCACTTTGAAATCCCCACTAGCATTAGTGCAGAACATTAGCGTCAGCATTCTTTCATAGGCTTATGTCCTGGCATTGCCTTTTTCCCCCCTGTGTAATGAAGGTCCTCTTTGGCACTTTCTTCCAAAAGAGGCCTTTTTCGTCACAAGTGAACACTTGTTCAGGTTTCAGTCCTTCACTGTTTATGTACTCCTGGGAAATTTATGCACATATTTTTCAGCCGCCTTGTGGTCCGAACTGGCAGCCTTACCATGCCTTACCACACACCACTTAAATCTCTCAAACCAGCCTTTGCTGGCCTTAAATTCACTCACTTCACCCACATTTGCAGGCAATTTCTTTACCCAAAACTTCATGCAACTGCCTAGCCTTTTCACAAATAAACGAAATCATAAGAGTATCTCCTGCTAATTGTTTCTCATTTATCCACACCAATAATAACTTCTCAACCTCTTCCAGTACTGGTGATCTCATTTTTTGTCAGCATAGTTACTCCCTTGCAACAACAGCATCCTTTATTTCATTTTTTTTGGCCACTATGGAAAAATAAGGTTGTGTAGGGTTTCTTATACATCCTGGACAGTTCGGCCACACTTGTACCACTTTATACTGTTCAATGATGGTTTTCTTAAATTCAATCGGTTTTCTCACCTTCTTTACCACAGGCTTGGGACTAGGGGCTTTCTTTGGAGCCATGGTAGCTTATTTAGTACTTGCAAGCACTAAAATAAATGGAAAAATTATGAAATATTTCGCTGGAGCACGCGAGGGGACCTTCGCTCACTGGTAAACAATGCCAGACTGGCTGCCGCCCTGGCCCACGCCGTGCGTACGCGTCCCGGACGAACTACGACTCGCGAGTCAACCTATGAAAAGCGAGTCCATGTTCATACGAAAATACCCCTATGATTGGCGAATTTTATGATTGCCGGGAACTACGAAAAGCGGGGGACCACTGTAACTCTTTTGAGGTCGGTGCCGTAGTACTATGGCTTGGAGCTCAGAATCTGTGCCGTAGTACAATGGGATAAGCTCAGCTCACTCAGAAAAGCAGTGAGCAGTAAATCTGGGCTTAGATATGAGAGAATGGGTATGCAGTGAGTATGCACCATATAAAAAAATCCTGCCCCACACAGTGAATAATGGGGGGAAAAACTGCACCCATGTATTTGGTTGAAAACAGCGACTTTGTGGTATATTTTGGATGGTTTTTAAGGTTGTATTCTCGGTTTCTTAGTATCATTTGATAGAATGGAAAATATATTACAGAAATAGAGATGATTTTTATTGGTTTTAGGACTGGAAGTAGCTTGAAATCGAGCTCAAGATAGTGGGAATATTCGATTTTTGCTAATGTTCCATAAGACACAAATTACATCACTTATCCAGCTGGACAGTCTAATAAGCGTTCAGGAATGTGCTGACACTATTTATGCAATTATTACAATAATGCAGTAGTTTGCATAATAGTCAGTCTAATATTTTTTTTTTTTTTTTGTAAATAAAAATTCAAAATGGAAAGCAAGTGTAAAATAGGAGAGGCCTGAGGACATAACTAATGAACAGAAAAAATGTTTTAGTGCCAGGAATGTTTACATTGTTTATTATTTTTTTTTTATTATCACACTGGCCGATTCCCACCAAGGCAGGGTGGCCCGAAAAAGAAAAACTTTCACCATCATTCACTCCATCACTGTCTTGCCAGAAGGGTGCTTTACACTACAGTTTTTAAACTGCAACATTAACACCCCTCCTTCAGAGTGCAGGCACTGTACTTCCCATCTCCAGGACTCAAGTCCGGCCTGCCGGTTTCCCTGAACCCCTTCATAAATGTTACTTTGCCCCACAAATCCAAACAGCACATCAAGTATTAAAAACCATTTGTCCCATTCCTCCCATCAAACACGCTCACGCATGCCTGCTTGAAATCCAACCCCTCGCACACCCAAACCTCCTTTACCCCCTCCCTCCAACCTTTCCCAGGGTGCCCCTACCCCGCCTTCCTTCCACTACGACTGTACACCTTTAAGTCACTCGTTTGCTCCATTCCTCTACATCTCCCCGAACCACCCAACAACCCTTCCTCACCCTCTGGACAACAGTTTTGGTAATCCCGCACCCCCTCCAACTTCCAAACTACGATCCCTGCATTTATTCACACCACACATTGCCCACAGACATGACATCTCCACTGCCTCCGCCTTTCCCGCTGCAACATCATCACCCAGCTTCACACCCATAAA